TCTTGTTTCAATTTGACCTCCTGCTGTGGCATCAAGGCCCGGATGATCATGGCTAGTTCCTTTAATGTTGGCTAGTTGATATCTTCATCCACTGTCTGGTGCCATATTAGAAACAACATCAAAATAGAAAAAATATAGTTATAAAAAGAGAAAGGTGGCTGATCACTGCACTGCCACCATGTGTGAGTCGTGTAGTAGGTTTCGGAACAGTGGGCTTTATTTCCACCCCCAAAATAAAATACTTTTTCCAAAGTCAAGTATAGTTCTAGACCATTAAAGGGGCTCAACTAAACTCAAGCTCTAGTGAAGCACCAGGATACAAAATAACAAACAAACCGAATATTGATCATTTTGGTACTGGCCAATTTAGGCAATCAAGTGGAACAAACACTGAAAACCTATCCAATAACAAAGAAACAAAAACAAAAGCTTTTAGTTATTTATGTAAAAATCGCCTTATTCAAAATAACTAACTCAGAAAGCAAAGAAAATCAACAGCGTATTTAAGTTAAATACTCCTCTCCCCTCCCCATGATGTAGCAACACTTGGTATGTCCCAATTAGCTCTTCTTGTATGTAATAGTGCTCCAGTGGCGGGTAGAAGATTGTTTGGTACTAGCAGACCTCAGAACCCAAGCGGACTTTGGCACAGCTCTGGTAAAACAAGAGAAAACCCTTTGTGTGATGTAGTTTAACGTTGTAGAGCATAAAGTTAACCAAATGTGTGCACAACAGATAGAAAGTGCATTACATTAAATACAAAGGAAAAAAAATCTGGTACAAAACGTTACGTGTGCTGAATATGTTTGTAAGTGTATCAGAAACTAAGGAGGCTCAGTTATGTTGTATTAAGTCTTGGTTCTTGGCTTTATATTTGTGTGGCTGTAAGTATGACCATCACAGATTGAATGATTAATGAACTGAAAATGAATGTGTGCTTCTAAGAAATACGTGGTGACATAGTATCACTTTAGTGCTAATGTATGAAATGTAAGCAGCACACTTTGCTCTTTTATGTTCTGTCAAAGAGCTGGCTATCCCACACTGTTGGATTTGGGGTGATGAAATCTTTGTAGAAACTGGGTCTGGTATGAGAATGCAGTGGCTGAGTGAGAATGAACAAGGCAGCAGTATTTTCAGAGTTGTTTCTTTGTCTGGCACACTGAGCCCATGCTCTAATCTAGGTTATCTGGCTGTAATCAGCTTAGCCCACTGCTACACTCGTTGCTGCTGCTGGGTGGGCACGCTGTGTAGTTTTAGTCTGCCTCTTTTCTTACTGCCATTCATGCAAACTTCTTGCAGGTGTAACAACTGAGAAGGCACGTTTCTCTTTTGTCTGGAAGATTGATCTGTGGCAATGGCTGACAGTGAGAAAATGGTTCCAACTAAGGTGTTGCCTACTGCAGACGTGTACCCTAAAAGAATAATGGAGTATATCGAAGGCTTCCTGATCTCCAAGGTAACATGCGTACATCGTATATGTATACAGGTCAAATGCAGACGTGTGTTGGATTGTAAACTTGACATTTCAGTGGTGCATTAACTAATTGGTTGATTATGTAACACAAATTCCAACATAATAATCAGTACATCGTCTATTAAACTATATAGGTCTTGATATCGAAAACCATCGCATACAGTGCAAAGATGCTGCATGCTGAAGCTTGTTGACTGGCAAATTACAGTATTTAAGAAACAAAATTAAAGGGTTCTGAAAGGAAAGTCCTTTTACTTCAAACACTTGTTTGAATAATTGGACCAAAAAATGCTGGAAATAATGTGAGCCAGAATGTCAGCAAAATTAATAACCTATGTTTGGTATGTTACGTCAAAACAGCAGGCATGTGCCCTTTTTCCCCCTTCACCAGTAGTCTCTGATATGTTATGTAGTTCGTGCAGGACGACTTAGCAGCTCTGAGAGGAACTGGCCAAAAGTACTTTCATCTATATTAATCTGTGTAGATGAACCCAATCTTCCCAGTAGAAGTTCATTAATAACATTCTTTAGAAGTTCATTTATTCTATTATCTTGCCTCACCATTTATCTCTATTCTCTCTGCTCACTGACCTAGACATTGTTCACATCCTGCGAGCTGGGTGTGTTTGAGGTGTTATTGGGTTCAGAGCGCTCCCTGTCTGCAGCAGAGATCAGTCAGGCTGTGGGTGCGAGTCTGGATGGCACAGAGAGGCTG